GAGAGAGAGAGAGACAGAGAGAGAGAGAGAGAGAGAGAGAGACTGAGGGTAAGGAGGCAAGGAAGGAGAGAGGGACCTGTGGCTCGTCAAGCAGCGTTTTTTCACACGTCACAGACTAGTGGACGAGTGGATTTTTCAAGCCCTATATACAGGCATATGCTTCAGCTCAAAAAAGCAGTAGACTTTATGGTAGAAATGTCATGAGATGTACTTTGTGTGTGCATCACTCAATGACTTTTTCTTATGGGCATATTTCTGCTGGTCAGTTCCCACCCCTACATGCCTTACCGTGTTGTTTGTTTAGTCGTTACGTCGTGTCCGATTCTTTGTGACCCCATGGACCAGAGCATGCCAGGCCCTCCTGTCTTCCACTGCCACTCGGAATTGGGTCAAATTCATGTTAGTAGCTCCCTTCATGGATTGCTGCCCTGTCGTGGCGAAGGAGCTTGAGTAATTCAGAGAAGCTATGGGCTATGCCCTGCGGGGACACCCAAGACGGACAAGTCATAGTGGAGAGTTCTGACTAAACCTGATCCACCTGGAGCAGGAACTGGCAAGCCACTCCAGTATCTTTGCCAAGAAAACCCCATGAACAGAAACAAAAGCCTAAGCTGCTCAGGTCGGAAGGCATCCAACATGCTACTGAGGAAGAGCAGAGGACAAGTGCAAGTAGATCCAGAGCTAATGAAGCGGTTGGGCCAAAGCCGAAAGGATGCTCAGCTGTGGACGTGCCTGGAAGTGAAAGGAAAGTCTGATGCTGCAAAGAAAAATACTGCATAGGAACCTGGAATGTAAGATCTATGAACCTTGGTAAACTGGATGTGGTCAAACAGGAGATGATAAGAATAAACATCGACATCCTGGGCGTCAGTGAACTAAAATGGGCAGGAATGGGCGAATTCAATTCAGACGATTATCATATCTACTATTGTGGGCAAGAACCCTGTAGAAGGAATGGAGTAGGCCACATAGTTAACAAAAGAGTGGGAAAATTTGTACTGGGATACAATCTCAAAAATGATAGAATGATTTCAATACACATTCAAGGCAGACCTTTCAACATCACAGAAATCCAAGTTTATGCACCAACCACCAATGCTGAAGCAGCTGAAATTAACCAGTTCTATGAAGACTTACAACACCTTCTAGAACTGACATCAAAGAAATATTTCTTCTCATTATAGGGGATTGGAATGCTAAAGTAGGGTGTCAAGAGATAAAATGAACAACAGGTAAGATTGGCCTTGGAGTTCAAAATGAAGCAGGGCAAAAGCTAATAGAGTTTTGTCAAGAAAACAAGCTGATTATCACGAACACTCTTTTCCAACAACACAAGAGGCGACTCTACACATGGACATCACCAGATGGGCAATAACAAAATCAGATTGATTATGTTCTCTACAGCCAAAGTTGGAGAAAACAAGAGAAAATAGTCAGGAAAAACAAGACCTGGAGCTGATTGTGGCTCTGATCATCAGCTTTTTATAGCAAAACTGAAACTTAAACTGAAGAAAGTAGGAAAAACCACTGGGCTAGTCAGGTATAATGTAAACTAAATCCCTTATGAGTACACAGTGTACTCTTTCTTTTCTTTCTTTCTCCAAACCTTTATTGGCATAAATACAGCTGGGATTACTAACAATAAACACAACGGGTTATAACTTGGAAGTTAATTTAAGAATCTCAAGCAGAAAGATAGCGACAGCTTCAGTGATACGGGAGGAAGAATCATTCAGAAAAATCTCAGGGGTGTTCGACAGGGAAGATAACCAGGGTTCTAGTAGTACCTTACGAATGGAAAAATGAACTGGACAGGAAAACAGTATATGATCAAGTGTATCCGGAACCAAATGGCAGAACAGGCATAATCGATCCTCTTTAGGAATATTAGCAAGACACAGTGTACTCAAGGAACTAGATTTGGTGAACAGAGTGCCTGAAGAAATAGGGCTGGAGGCTTGTAACATTGTACAGGAGGCAGCAACAAAATCCATCCCAAAGAAAAGGAAATGAAAGAAAGCAAAGTGGCTGTCCAACGAGGCCTCACAAATAGCGGAGAAGAGAAACAAAATGCAAGGGAGATAGGGAAAGTTACAGAAAATGGAATGCAGATTTCCAAAGAATAGCAAGGAGAGACAAGAGAGCCTTCTTAAATGAATAGTGAAAAGAAATAAATAACAGAAAGTGAAAAATCAGATATCTGTTCAAGAAAATTGGAGATATTAAAGGAACCTTTTGCGCAAAGATGGACATGATAGAGGACAAAAATGTTAGGGACCTCACAGAAGCAGAAGATATCAAGAAGAGGTGGCAAGAATACACAGAGGAATTATATCAGAAAAATCTGGTTGCCCTGACCTTGAGCCAGACATCCTGGAGAGTGAAGTCAAGTGGGCCTTAGAAAGCATGGCTACCAACAAGGCCAGTGGAGGTGATGATATTCCAGTTGAACTATTTAAAATTTTAAAATATTACACTGTTAAGGTGCTACATTCAATATGTCAGCAAGTTTAAAAAGTCAGCAGTGGCAAGAGAATTGGAAAAGATCAGTCTTACCTTGTAGATTTTGGGCATAACCTTGCTAGTGTGTCAAATGAGTGCAATAGTAGATACGATAATCGTCAATTGAATTCACCCATTCCCGTCCATTTTAGTTCACTGATACCCAGGATGTCAATGTTTATTCTTGCCATTTACTGTTTGACCACATCCAGCTTACCAAGGTTCATAGATCTTACATTCCAGGTTCCTATGCAGTATTTGTCTCTGCAGCATCAGACTTTCCTTCCAGTTCTAGGCGCGTCCACATCTGAGCGTTCTTTCAGCTTTGGCCCAACCACATCATTAGCTCTGGAGCTACTTGTCCTCCACTCTTCCTCAGTAGTATGCTGGATGCCTTCAAACCTGAGCAGCTCCTCTTCCAGCGTCATATATTTTAGGCTTTTGTTTCTGTTCATGGAGTTTTCTTGGCGAAGGTTCTGGAGTGGCTTGCCAGTTCCTGCTCCAGGTGGATCGCGTTTAGTCAGAACTCTCCACTATGACCTGTCCATCTTGGGTGTCCCTGCATGGCATAGCCCATAGCTGATTTTGTAAGCCGTCCCGAGTAGACGCTGTCTGGGGACGGGGGCGGGGTATAAATTGAATGAATGAAAGAATAAATAAATAGCTTCTCTGAATTACTCAAGCCCCTTCACCATGACAAAGCAGCAGTCTGTGAAGGGGACATGTCTTACTACCACACCCATTTAGTCTTCTTCGGGTGTGAATATCTCCTCTCTTCGTTTTTTAAAAAAATTTAAAATTAGAAAAAAATCTAAAAATGCACAGAGGCAAAAACATGAATTTTAGAGAACAATGGTTGAGTAAAGTAGAAGAAAAAGAAGAGAATGAAACAGACAGGAAGAGAGTGAAGGTATGAGCTATTCCTGCATTCTGCTTTTTAAAAAACATGATCACTTTTGCACTGTAGCACAAAAGGGAGGGAAGAAAGAAAGAAAGAACAAAGTATGAAAAGGTGAAGGTTTGAGAACAGTGGTCATGTAAAAGAAGAAAGGAAGGGAGAAGAGATTGAAATAGGTGGGTAGTGGGGAAGAAGATATGTAAATGGGAGTGAGAACCCAGCGAGCAATTCCAGATATTTGTGAACAGGCAGTATCTGAATAACCCTGTGCATCTCTTTAAATCCATCAAAAAAATATTCTCTCCATGGCTGGATGCTAATACTGGGATGATCTACTTGAAGCTGCCAAATTACTGGAATAACTCAAAACAACCCTAGAATAGCCAGGTGTGGGTGGGACCTAACTGTGAGCCTCTGAATGCCACAGCACAAGCTTCTCTCACCTCTGGGATTATATAAATTACAATGCTTTATTTGGTAATTGATCTTCAGTATTTAAGCATGGAATGCTTCTGCAGTTATTTTTGTAAATACAGAATGACTGTGTCAAATCACTATCTGCAACACTGTGATTTCAAGTCTAATTACAAACCATCTCTGTTTCTGGCCTGAAGACCAAAGCTTGATAAGGACATCTATCAAGCTGCTAAGCAAAGAATCAGGCATTCATTTTGCACACTTTTACTTGGGATGTGGTGGCGCTGCGGGCTAAACCGCAGAAGCCTCTGTGTTGCAGGGTCAGAAGACCAAGCAGTCATAAGATCGAATCCATGCGATGGAGTGAGCTCCTGTCACTTTGTCCCAGCTCCTTGCCAACCTAGCAGTTCAAAAGCATGGAAATGCGAGTAGATAAATAGGTACCACCTCAGTGGGAAGGTAAACCGGCGTTACCTACTCATGCTGGCCACGTGACAACAGAAACTGTCTTCGGACAAGTGCTGGCTCTATAGCTTGAAAAACGGGTTGAGCACCGCCCCCTAGAATCACACACGACTGGACTAAGAATGTCAAGAGGAACCTTTACCTTTACCTTACTTGGGAATAAATCATTCTAAACTCAAATGGGGACTATATCTCTATAGATATGTGCAGACCAAATAACCTACTCTTTTGATTAAAGAAAAATGTTGAGATGTGTATAGCATTATGCTGTTACAGCAGTTTTATTTACGATTTTATTTTGATGTGACGTTGTGGAAAAATCTTAAATTACATAAAAAAATAATCCTTAGTATACTCCAAATTTCACAACACAGAAAACGCCGTCTTTAAAACGTGGAAAGAGGTATTTCTTAAACAAAGATGAGTCATCGCCCGTTGCATTCCCGTAACATTTGGGGGCAGAAAGCAAGGGGGGGGGGGAAGCCACCCACTTCGTTCCCAAAAGATCAACCTGGGAGAAATCCCTTCAGAAGCGGACAGCTCCTATTTTATTTTAAGCCACCAACCAGGGTGCGTGTTCCGGCTCCCTTCTGCGCCAGACCCGCCGAAAGGCAGCACCGCTGCTAAGAGGAGAGTTTTCGAGGCGGGGCGACTCTCAGGAACAGAAGGAGGCGACGCTTCGGTCAGGACTGCTTGCTGACAGCGTCCTCCACCCACCTCCTGCAACCGCCCCTTGCCCTCCCCTCCCTGGCGCTGCCTTGAGTACCTGTAGGTCCCGAACGGTGGGAGGCCGGCCAGTCCCACGGGCTCCTTTCTCTCGACGCAGCGCGCCTGTACTCTCCGCCGCCGCCTCATTCTTCTCATCTTCTCCGTCGTCCGCCATCTTCAACACCAATGGCGGAGCCCTTCTCAGGAGTCCGAGCTTTGCGCTCTGGCGAGATTCGGGAAGATGGGCGGGCGCACGGAGGAGTTCTTCCGGCAGCTAGCGTTGGCATGGTAACGGAGCCGCAGCCGCTGGACCACTTCGGTTCCGGCGGGCGCTGAGCTGATCTCCTTCCCCACCTTGCCTTCTTTGCGCGTGCGCACTTCGCGCGTGTTACCCCGCCCGTTTCCCTCAGGCAGGTTGGAGAACGAGAGGCTGCGCGGGCGGGGTTTTAACGCCTCCAGTTAAGCAGTCAATCTCTTGTGTAGTAGGAATCCTAATACAGTATTTGGATTTAGCCGCCCAGAGTAGACTTCGGTCTAGATGGCGGGTTATAAATTGAATAAATACTTATTTTTATAATTACTATCCGAAGCAAAAGAAAGGGACGTCGTCCCACCCACGCCCGCAATCCTCACAATGCGCCTTGCACGGTCTTTCAGTTCACTGACTGTAAGGTTTTGGCCGAAGAATCTGATGAAAACTTGCATGCTTTCATGCTCGTTAAGAGGAAGCAATAAAGGGTTGCTCCAGCCTTATGCTACAGCCTTATACGCTCACAAAAGGGAATTGAGTTGACACGAAAAAATCTAAAAATGCACAGAGGCAAAAACATGAATTTTAGAGAACAATGGTTGAGTAAAGTAGAAGAAAAAGAAGAGAATGAAACAGACAGGAAGAGAGTGAAGGTATGAGCTATTCCTGCATTCTGCTTTTTAAAAAACATGATCACTTTTGCACTGTAGCACAAAAGGGAGGGAAGAAAGAAAGAAAGAACAAAGTGTGAAAAGGTGAAGGTTTGAGAACAGTGGTCATGTAAAAGAAGAAAGGAAGGGAGAAGAGATTGAAATAGGTGGGTAGTGGGGAAGAAGATATGTAAATGGGAGTGAGAACCCAGCGAGCAATTCCAGATATTTGTGAACAGGCAGTATCTGAATAACCCTGTGCATCTCTTTAAATCCATCAAAAAAATATTCTCTCCATGGCTGGATGCTAATACTGGGATGATCTACTTGAAGCTGCCAAATTACTGGAATAACTCAAAACAACCCTAGAATGGCCAGGTGTGGGTGGGACCTAACTGTGAGCCTCTGAATGCCACAGCACAAGCTTCTCTCACCTCTGGGATTATATAAATTACAATGCTTTATTTGGTAATTGATCTTCAGTATTTAAGCATGGAATGCTTCTGCAGTTATTTTTGTAAATACAGAATGACTGTGTCAAATCACTATCTGCAACACTGTGATTTCAAGTCTAATTACAAACCATCTCTGTTTCTGGCCTGAAGACCAAAGCTTGATAAGGACATCTATCAAGCTGCTAAGCAAAGAATCAGGCATTCATTTTGCACACTTTTACTTGGGATGTGGTGGCGCTGCGGGCTAAACCGCAGAAGCCTCTGTGTTGCAGGGTCAGAAGACCAAGCAGTCATAAGATCGAATCCATGCGATGGAGTGAGCTCCTGTCACTTTGTCCCAGCTCCTTGCCAACCTAGCAGTTCAAAAGCATGGAAATGCGAGTAGATAAATAGGTACCACCTCAGTGGGAAGGTAAACCGGCGTTACCTACTCATGCTGGCCACGTGACAACAGAAACTGTCTTCGGACAAGTGCTGGCTCTATAGCTTGAAAAACGGGTTGAGCACCGCCCCCTAGAATCACACACGACTGGACTAAGAATGTCAAGAGGAACCTTTACCTTTACCTTACTTGGGAAAAAATCATTCTAAACTCAAATGGGGACTATATCTCTATAGATATGTGCAGACCAAATAACCTACTCTTTTGATTAAAGAAAAATGTTGAGATGTGTATAGCATTATGCTGTTACAGCAGTTTTATTTACGATTTTATTTTGATGTGACGTTGTGGAAAAATCTTAAATTACATAAAAAAATAATCCTTAGTATACTCCAAATTTCACAACACAGAAAACGCCGTCTTTAAAACGTGGAAAGAGGTATTTCTTAAACAAAGATGAGTCATCGCCCGTTGCATTCCCGTAACATTTTGGGGCAGAAAGCAAGAAGGGGGGGGGAAGCCACCCACTTCGTTCCCAAGAGATCAACCTGGGAGAAATCCCTTCAGAAGCGGACAGCTCCTATTTTATTTTAAGCCACCAACCAGGGTGCGTGTTCCGGCTCCCTTCTGCGCCAGACCCGCCGAAAGGCAGCACCGCTGCTAAGAGGAGAGTTTTCGAGGCGGGGCGACTCTCAGGAACAGAAGGAGGCGACGCTTCGGTCAGGACTGCTTGCTGACAGCGTCCTCCACCCACCTCCTGCAACCGCCCCTTGCCCTCCCCTCCCTGGCGCTGCCTTGAGTACCTGTAGGTCCCGAACGGTGGGAGGCCGGCCAGTCCCACGGGCTCCTTTCTCTCGACGCAGCGCGCCTGTACTCTCCGCCGCCGCCTCATTCTTCTCATCTTCTCCGTCGTCCGCCATCTTCAACACCAATGGCGGAGCCCTTCTCAGGAGTCCGAGCTTTGCGCTCTGGCGAGATTCGGGAAGATGGGCGGGCGCACGGAGGAGTTCTTCCGGCAGCTAGCGTTGGCATGGTAACGGAGCCGCAGCCGCTGGACCACTTCGGTTCCGGCGGGCGCTGAGCTGATCTCCTTCCCCACCTTGCCTTCTTTGCGCGTGCGCACTTCGCGCGTGTTACCCCGCCCGTTTCCCTCAGGCAGGTTGGAGAACGAGAGGCTGCGCGGGCGGGGTTTTAACGCCTCCAGTTAAGCAGTCAATCTCTTGTGTAGTAGGAATCCTAATACAGTATTTGGATTTAGCCGCCCAGAGTAGACTTCGGTCTAGATGGCGGGTTATAAATTGAATAAATACTTATTTTTATAATTACTATCCGAAGCAAAAGAAAGGGACGTCGTCCCACCCACCCCCGCAATCCTCACAATGCGCCTTGCCCGGTCTTTCAGTTCACTGACTGTAAGGTTTTGGCCGAAGAATCTGATGAAAACTTGCATGCTTTCATGCTCGTTAAGAGGAAGCAATAAAGGGTTGCTCCAGCCTTATGCTACAGCCTTATACGCTCACAAAAGGGAATTGAGTTGACCCGGCTAGGACTGTGTGTCTTGAAGGAAAACGAAATGCTGTGGGCACTGGGGGACTGTCGAATAGAGATGGGAAGAGACAACAGGCTTCTCCACAGTATTTTGAAGTATGATTTACAATTTTCATAGAAGCAACTGCCCTTTGTATCTTAATTTAGTTTTTCCTTATACCCTCAATCCAAGAACGGTCCTGTTTTTTTTTAATGGAAGCAGCAGGTGTTGCTTGAGTAGATCGTGTAGGAGCTTTTTGGTCAATCATGACAGGTTCTAGAAAACAAAATCTATAGTATGTAATAAAGAGGTCTATCAAAGCCAAAGAGTTTCAGATGTTTCCTAATTAAGACTTGATTACCAAGCAACTATCAAGTCAGTTCAGATGTTACAAAGTTACTAATCAATAAACTGAAGATTTGAAAAATAAAAAATGAGACAAAAGGGCATGGTTTCTATTGCTTAATCTGTAATTTAATATTTTAAACTGCTTTAATTTATTTTACTCATGTTAAGGAACGGTAGACCTAAAGGAGAAAGAACAGAGCGAGCCATCCCCTCAGCTAGAGACACCTGAGCAGAAGAGAAAAATAGAAGCAGGGAAGATAATGGAAAATGAGGAGTTGAATATGGAGGAAGAGAAAGGAAGGGAATCAAAGGGAAAGGAGGAAAAGATTAATATCTGTCTAATGGAAGAGAGAGAGGCAAGAGGAGTTAATTTTGTCTGTGGGAGGAGGATATAGGGGAGCAAAGTGGGAGGAGACAGTTTAGTGAGGGGGGAGAAAGAAAGAAGGAAGGGGAAGAAAGGAGAGCGGGGGAAAAGGGAATACAGATATGAGAGAATGAGAGGATTGTAGGAAGACTTTCCTAATTTGAAGGTAGGAGGGTTGCTACCTGATCCAAACACGTCTAAAGAAAAAGGGACTTCGGTAGATTCGCTAGAATGGACGGTCATAGTTTTTCTATGGGGGACAAGGTTACTCGAGGAAGGTGATTTGGCCAGACTTTTCTTTCAACCACCCACCACCGGATGGAGATTGGGCCGGACACCCTTGTTGTTGGACAATATGCACGGTCCTGAGTGCTCCACTGAGGAAGCCCACCAATCAGGAACGTTTGGGGCCAACCCCTCAATGAATCCTGTCAGTTCCAAGACAGAGTTGTCATCCTCACAATTTGGACAGTTACCTGCTCTTAGTTGTTTTGAACCAATTGAAGTTGTTATAGACTCACCAGATGTTAAACTAAATAAATCTGTTAATGTTAAAAAAGGGACTCAGTTGTCATTTCCTTCCAAAAAAGAGGAACTGCTTCAGATCTTTAATGAGCCCAGTCATAACTCAGTTCATTTGCAATTTAATATATTGTGTTTTTACATGTATTTGATTTTTAATCAAGTTGTGAATCAGCTTGGTGCCTGATAGTGTGCAAAAAAGTGAACTATAAATTAATAAAAAAGCTCAATATTATATTTGATGTCAGATTTGTATTAGATTTAGTCTTGCAATTTTGAGTCCACGCTATACATTGTATTCTTTGAGCTTTTTAAAAAATATGTTTAATCTGAACATTTTAAAAATTTCAGTGGGAAAAAAAGTTATAATGAATAGTCATTTACTGGGTGATAATTACAGAAATGAAAATTGGATCTTGCATTCATTAGACTAAATTCCATATTCATTCTGTGTCATGATGTTATGGTATAGTAACACGCCTACATCTACCACTGTCTCTAGCAATGTTTGGCTTCTAGATCTCACTGTTTGAAAAAGAAAGCATTCAGTTAAAGAGCCTCCAGGATCATCCAGCTAACATGGCCATGGTTGCCTATGGTTTAGTGGGAACTGTGGTTTTTTTAAAAAGGTAACTTTTCTAAGCTCATATTTCATACAGGTGAGAAAGTAGGTTCTGAATCCATGAAAGTTTTAGAGCAATATGTACGTTAGTGATGCCACAAAACTGCTTATTGCTTTTGCTGCATTTCAGCTACTTTTATGAAACGCATTGCAGCAAGCAAAACAGAATTTACTGTTTTGGGGAAGACGAAAAGCTGTCCTATTTTCCCCTTCCTTGAACAATACACATAACTGGAAATGGCTTTGTTAAAACAACCAAGATTCACTTTGCCACTAGGTGGTGGTGCAATAATATTTAAGGCAATTGCTAAAGTTGATTCCATTGAAATAAAAGGGAGCAGTATGGTCAACACAAATGCAAGGCTAGGCAATACCTTTACACACCACTAAAAAAACCATCATACACTATGCAAGCTTTTGTGGATCAGGGCCACTTCATCAGAAGTGTAGTAGTTAGTGTCCAAAAGTTCATGGCAAGATGGATTTTGCCAG